ATGTGTGTGCCTTGCACCTGGCTTTCCTCAGGCGATTCCTTCAGGATAATTTGATTCAGGTGCCTTGATCTACACGCTCACCTTACTGCTCAACTTGAACTACAGAGGCACTTGGGCTTGACACCCTGCCAGGGCTCAGTTTTCCAAATCTAGAAGAATTCTGCCCAGCTCCCAAACTTACAGGGGATTATGAAGCAGGCTGTGGTGATGCAGACCTGTATTCCAAGTGCTCAGGAAGCTGAGGCAGGAGCATCACATGTTTGAGGAAAGTCTGGGCTACACAGTGAATGCCTGGCGAGCTAGGGCTACTTTTCTCAAAAACAAACAAGGAGATTACAGCTCTAGGTGGTAAACTGGGGTGTGGGTAATAGATGACAGAAAAGAAAAGGGATACAGGATGTGGCCTCCCCTGGGGTGAGGGAGGGAGAGGAGCTCCAGAGCCTAGACTCGTGGTTTAAGGCACCTTCCTCATGAAGATGTCATATACTGGAGCCTCCCTGTATCATGCACACAGCCCAGCCCCCCTTCTGGAGCTGAAGGACTCACTCTGTTCCCACCATTTCTAGGGGAAGGAGCCGGGCAGCAGGACATTTTGTTTCCCAGATGAAGCTCGGGTCAAATTTCAAGGACAAAAGTTAGCACTTGGCCTGGGAAAGAAAACTCCCCCAAATCCTGTAAATTTGGGAGGGAGGGTGAGATTTCAATGTGGTCATTCCAGGTGCCTGGGGGTGCTGGCAGGCACTGGAACCCTGTTTCCCCCTGCCAAGATCTGTCTGGCAGGAAATGGGTAGCTTCACAACCTCAGAGTAACTCAAGCAACCACCTCCATTTCCCTCTGTTCAAAACCGGGGGTGGGGATGAGGGCTGTGGTACTAGTTTGTGGATCCCACCCCCTCAAAAAGATTTGGTCTGAACGGAAGAGGGAGGTGCCATGAAGGGCTTTCCAGCCCCGAGATGTGGCCTTAACTGCTAGGAGAGGGACTGGTAGCCGGCTGGTGTTGCCATGGTAACTTCCTCCCTGAGCTGGATCGAAGCATCCATCCTATGGGCAAATCAGAGCTGGCTCCTCCAGCTTCTCCGCCCTTCTCCTGGGCGGGCGGGGGAGAACCAGACGACAAATCACTTGGTCAGGCTCAGGAACACTAGCCTCAGGTCCAGACCCTGATGTAACAACTTCTTTTGGTATCTACTAGGAAGGGGATACATCCCAGCTCTCCAACTATCCCCCAAGGAAACCGCCTGTGGGTCCGCTGCAATTAAACTCATTAGAAAGAGGAGGGAAATGGTAAGCCAGAGAGCTTCCCACCTTTCTTTGACTTACAAACCCCCTGATGTCCCCACCTTTAAGGCACTTCAAAGGAGGTGAGCCCAGCTCTACCTCTGCAAACTACGACATAATTAGTCCATTAAAAGGACAAAGGCTAACATTTTGAGACTCGGGATTTGCCCAAACACATAGCAATCTTTATGGCCACATTCAGAGATGACTCTCACTTGTTAATGAGACAGACCCGAACTAACAAATATTGAGACCCACTTCACGCCAGGTACCATTCATTGTATAGCAAGCAACATACCTAAAAGCAAGTGTACTTGAACCAGTTTCCCCAGATTTAAACCCCAACCCCCTCACTTCCTGGCTAAATGACCTTGAACAAATTACTCTGCCTAAACCTCAGTTTTCTTATCTGAAAATGGGGATGTTATGGGGAAAGGCTAAAATAATGCACCTTAAACACCTGGAAAGTCATGCATCATATAATATTTTTTAAAACACTGACCCAACAGAGTCTACTGGGAGCACTAATATTCTGGTCCTCACGCAGGTGAGAACAGGGTTACATGTCTGGCTCCTCCCCACCCTAGATGCAAATCCATGGCCAGTAAGGCTGAGCAACAAAGACATGGGCACAAATACCCAAGTGTCCCTGAGTGCGGCCTCTCTAAAGCCCCAGCGTCCTTGGAACAAGGCAAGGCAGCAGCATCGCATCATAAGAGATGCATCAGAACATATGAGGGAAGATTCCTCTTGACGGGCGTCGTAGCAACCTGCAGCGATCCTTTTCTTGGGCTCAAGGGTGCTGGAGAGATGCAGGAAGAGAAGGCAGCTTCTTCCTAACCCACTGCCCAACACTCCTAAGCCCAAGGCAGGGATGTGCACGGCCCCATTTAGAGCCAGTGGAAGTCTCCTCCTCAGTTTATGACTCAGGAAGCTAGCTGGAGACAGCAGGAGAGTCTTGAAGACGGCTCTGGCCTAATCTAATGAATGGGGAAGGATGTATCGACATGGGTTGGAAACAGCAACAAGGGGAGGCTCCCAGATGAGCCTGAAGCCTGTCAGGGACACACTTCAGAAATGGAGCCACCGAGGACAGATAGGCAGTAAAAGGGGCCAGTGGGAGAGGGGAGTCAGGAGGAGCCAAGTCTGTGATGGCCTCCTTTGGCTAAACCAACCCCTAAACCTATTCTGACTGCCTTTAAGAATTAGTTCAGCTCAGTGCTGTTTTAAAGGAAATAAACCCAGTTTTCTTCTTCTAGGAGAAAATGAATGAACGAGACAATCAAGAGAAAATAAGCATCAGGACAATGGTTCTTACTTCCATCTCTCACCGGCCCATCGTTATTCTTCCAGATATGAAAGTAGACTTTCTCCCTCCTCCCTCCCAAGCTGGAGACAGCCTTGGGGATGAGCAGGAAGTGAGCCTGAGATGCCCAAACAGAGCTCAAGGCTGCCAACTGCTCCCCAAGGCCTCCTCACCTGGGGACCATTTTCTGCACTGAGATCTGGCTTTTTAAAAAATCCTCCTCCAGAAAGAGAAGCTACTGGTGTTCTGAAGAGAGCCGGAAACCTGGTTCTGCTCTCAGCTTTATGCACAAGACACCAGATGACCTTGGGTTACACACACACACACACACACACACACACACACACACACACACCAGGGCTTCAGTCATTCACACACATTCTCACAGATATACAACCCCTATCCTCATGCATTTGGGGCCTAAGAGGGCCTCTTACAAGCGAAACACAAGAATTTAAAGAAACTCACTTAGAAGGGGGAGATAGACGGATGTTTAGAGATACTGTTAATATTCTCAGTGAAGCTATCTTTGACTAGAGTGAGTTCTGCAATAAGACCAAGGTGCCTGACCCACAACATGCAGCATGACTTTGGAGAAAAACCAAACCATGCCTGTCTCTGATGCTTCTACACATCTGTCCGGTGTGACTCTCGAGTTCAGTTCAGGCCTGCAAGCCGACTCTCCCTCCACAGACACCCCAAGACTCCCCCTTCACCTCTACAGCTAGCCTGATGTCTTCTCTCTCTGAGTTAGCTGCAGTAGAGGCAACTACATTAGGGACCCCTCCCCCCCCAGTTCCACTTCACCTGGTCTTGCCTAGAATAATACAACACTCCTCAGCTATGAGGAAGAAGCTGAGCTTCTGGGCCTCACTTATTTGATGCGTGAAATGGTGTGTACAGAGACTTGATGTGTAACAACCATCTTCACCCCCAACTCCTGCCTCCAGGTCAGTAGAAAATTCTATCAGGTGTTGGTCTCAACTATTGCCAGTCACTCTGGGGAACTCTCCTTTTCTCGTCTCCCACTGGTACCCACCACTCCATCTCATAACATCCCCTACCCAGAAAGCTCCAGCCATCGGGGAGTTGGAACCTGAGCTCTTGAATTCCTTAAACTGTGCAGGAAATTTTTGGGGCAGTGCATATATGCTTTTTTCCTTTTGAGAGATAATTCGTATTTTAATCAGTATTGAACCCACTCGTTCCTACACACATACACACTCCTCTTCCCCGCCCCTCATTGACTTCAAATACTCTTAAATTATCAGTTCAAAAACCATTTCATTCCACCCTCCCACCACATGGGAGCCTTGTGTCTAAGGCAGCAGCATCTGCATTTTACAGATGAGGAAACTGAGACTCCGGATGGCATGACTTGTCCAAGGTCACAGCTTATGGAATAGAGGAATACAGATGAATCTGATTCCAACTCCTAATCCTGGCACTCTCTGGGGGACCTCTCACCCAAATCTCCTAGGTACCCCACCTGTTGTTGGATCCCCTTCTTTACCCCCAAACCGAAACTCACAGGTCTCTGTATCCTCTGCCTGGCCCCATATCTGAGAGCTGGTTTCCTCTCCCACCCCTGGACTGTGGCTACCTTTGGGAATTTTTTTTAGACCCAGAAGCAGAAGACCTGAGTTGAGGGATGGCAACCGGGTTCAGCCCATCCAGAAAGGCCACTCCAGGGACAAGAACACCTGAGTCAGAGGCACACACTGGAGGGTGCTCTGGTGTTGTTAGCACTTAAACGGCCTCACACCTCCCTGGGGAGGAAAGAGGAAAGGCCAGCAGACACCGGGCCAGTTCTGCGCGGCCCGCCCCAATCTGATTAGAGTCTGGAGCCTCAGCCTGTGGGGGAAGGGAACAGAGGCAAATAGGGACACTCAAGGCTTTGGCATCTAAACAGGGGTCTTGGGCAGGAAGCCTCCAGAGGCAGCTAGGACAAAGACCTCGGAGAGGTAAGGTCTGCGCACAACCTCCAACCGCTGGAAGACACGTCGGAAGCCCCAGGGTGAGGCGGCCTAAACCCTAAGATCTGACTAGGGGACATATAACCAGACTTAGATGGTGGCAAGTCAGGTCGAGAAACAAGACGGTGGTCGCGGGGAAGTCCTGTAGGTACACATAAATAGGGAGAGTTGAGTCCAGGCGACCCAAAGGCCCACCTGCGCGAGAAGGGTGAATACAGATGATAGAGGGGTCCCTGGGGCGGAGGGGCAGGACCAGAGCTTATCCTAGACCCCTGCTGATCCGAGGGAGTGAAAGGGGCCCTTGACTGTCTATCCGGGCAGGACGGGGAGTACAGTGAAGACAGTGGCCGCCTCTCCCGGGCGCCCCGGGTCCCCAAGGGTCCCTGGCATCTGTATCCCGGGACAGCCTCCCGGGGTGGGTGGACCGAGGCGCTCTTACCTGCATCCTCATCGTCGAAGGAGTTCATGCACGGGAAGTAGATGGCGAGCGCCTCGAAGGAGGCGGACAGGCTAAGGCGGCTCTGCGAGCGCTCCATGCCCGCGCCCGCGCCAGGAGCCTCGGCCGCGGCGGCGGCGGGCGGCTTGGGCAGCTTGGCCGCCCCATTCTTGACGCGGAGTACGGCGCGCGGCGTGGTGGCGGCGGCCCGGGGCTCCGCGGGCGGGCGGCTGGGCTGGCGGCGGGGCGCAGAGGGCCGGACGCTGGCGGCGCGTGGAGCTGGAGACGCGCGGTGCTCGCGGCGGTGGCGGTGACAGCAGCAGCGGCGGCGGCGGTGGTGGCGGCGCAGCGCGCTCTGGCCCGCGGCGCCCCCAGCCTGCCAGCCGCGCGGGGCGGGCCGGAGCCGAGCGCCGCAACCAATCGCCGCGGCCCGGGGGAGGGGGCGCCGCGGGCGGGGCGTGGGAGCTGCGAGGGTGCGGGCTGCGTCGCCGCTGCCAACCAGGCAGGTGCACGAGCCCGGCACAAGGCTGTGTGAGCCAAGCTGCTGCGGTTGAACCCCCCCAGTGGCCGCTCTGACCCGTGACTGTGAGTCCTAAGGCTCGCTCCAGAGGCGGGTGACCAGTCACCCGGGTTCAAGCAGGCCTCACCCAGAGACCCAGATGTGTCCAGAGACACACAGTGCAAGAAATCCAAAAAACGTGCCAGATTCCCCCTAAGACTCCAGCTCACACGGAGACCCTCAGATACACAAGAACCCGCAAAGATGTATTCACCGGAAAGAGATCTCGGGCTCCCTCACACTGTGTGTGTGTGGGGGGGGAGAGCGGAGGGACACCTGGACAGACACACAGAGACTCCTAGAGGCAAGGCGGTTGATAACACCAATCGTCAACTTCAGAGGGTACACAGAGACCTGCAGAGTCACAGGGAGCAACAGGTGGGACATGTCTTCCCACACAGCAGAGACCCTCAGATGCCAGAAACCCCACATAAGTTTAGACAGACACACAACTTCTCATTCACATACTCTTAAAATCTGCAGACACCCTGGACGTCTGTCACATGCAGAACATAGCCCCAGATGACCACCTCAGACACTTAGCACCCCTCCTCTCACGATGACCGGTGTGTCAAAAACTGGGACAGTCCCCGTCAGAATATTCACACCTACAGACACAGCCATATAGTCTGAGTCACTCACGGGGATGGATTCTTTCTGAGGCAGACACCCTCAGACTGAAGGCCCTGAGACACGGCTGCAGGCTCACACGGGCAAACACTCCATAGTCCCTGGAATGACACACACCGGCAGACTCAGACACCCAGAGCCTGGGTATAGACAGACAAGCTCAATAACAACTCTCTGCTGCCCTCCCTACCTGAGAGCTCACTCTACCAGAAGTGGCTCCCTTTTCCAGCGACTCCCATCCTCTCCTTGAAGCAACAATCAGAGGTGGCTTCAGAAAGACATCTCGGTCTCTTCTTTCCAAGAGGCCTGGGACAAGCCTCCCCATCTCACTGATCTATTTCCTCATTCATGTGATGGCAACAGGATCCTTCCATTCTGGATGGGTGTGTGTATTTGTTCTGTTTCTCCATAGCCAGCCAAATAGCCAAAAGCAACAGATCTTTATCAGAGTGCAATCTGTCTAGATGGGAAGTCTGGACAGCTCAACTGGGTTCTCTATTTAAAGTCTTGCAAAGTATTTGCCAGGTAAGGCTGTTAGTGCTGGCTCTGGGGAAGAATCTGATTCCATGATCATTCTCGGTGCAAGCAGGATTCAGTTCCTTGTGGCTGTAGGACCGAAGGCCATGTCTGCTGGCAGCTCAGCGTCTGCAAATGGCCCTCTAGGCTTGCACATGGGCTCTCCATCTTCAAAACCACCACAGGAATGCCAAGCCCTTCTCACACTTTGCTCCTCTAACTCCCCACTGGGTTATCTCCCAAGGGTCAGCCCTCCTTTATAATTTTTTGTTGTTGTTTTATTTTTCCAGATAGGGTTTCTCTGTGCAGCTTTGGAACCTGTTCTGGAACGCGCATTGTAGACCAGGCTGGTCTCGAACTCACAAAGATCCACCTACCTCTGCCTCCCAAGTGCTGGGATTAAAGGCGTGCACCACCACCACCTGGCTCCTTTATCCTTCATATTGCCTTATATCTTGATCATAGCAGCGATGTTTTTTCCTAGTTCCACACATAGTCAAACAGAAGGGAATTATGCAAGGTGGGGATCCCTGGGCCATCCTTTCCACTCTGTCACCTCGCTGAGTACCTGACACAAAGAAGGCATTCCTGGGGCCTCTTTCCCTTTCCTAGAATCATATTCCCACCTTGAGAGCAACAGAAATGTTAGCATGTTCTGCATATATTCACCCTGCCTTGGAAGCTTCACTCTTTATAGGCATTCAGACACCATATATCTTAGTTCTCTCTCTCTCTCTCTCCCTCTCTCTCTCTCTTCTCTCTCTCTCTCTCTCTCTCTCTCTCTCTCTCTCTCTCTCTCTCTCTCTCTCTCATTCTCTCTCTCTTATGTGTATCCATGTCCATCAGTGACTCCACTCCTCTACACCCAAAATATACCTAGAAAACTTCCTGTCACAAACCTCCATGGTTGTCATCTCATTCAGAGTTGGAGTCCAGAGTCTACAAGGCCCTAACTTTGCATACTCTGACGCCTCTCTGTCCTCATCTCCCACATAGCCTCCCTGTGGCTCACTTGGCTTCAGACCCAGTGGAATTTCTCTTCCTTCTGCCAGAAACACTCTCTGGAAAGCCACAGGGCTTGCTCTCGCGGATGTCCACTCCAATGTCACTTCTGCAGCAAAGGCTCCCCTCATGGCCACCTCCCTGGGATGGCCTCCCTTGGTTTCCTGTGTAGCTCTAGCAGCAATCTTCACCACATGTCTGTGGAGGATAGATGTCTTTCTTGTTTATTCATTCTATCTGCCCACCCCAGAGCCTAGCAGGCTACCTGGCAAAAGAGTGGTACTCATTTAACTAATTGTAGGTTGGATGAAAGAACCCTCGTGCTAACTTATGAAGAGGGTATCCTAGTGCTTCCTCCCCCATATTTACAAAGAACTGAGACTTATATAGAGGGGACCTGATGTCCCCAAGGTTACAAGAAAGGAATGAGATTGGAGCCTGGGGCAATCCAGCTCCAAAGGCTGTCTTTTCCACTGCCCTGTTGGCCTCCTAACACCAGGGCAAGTTAATTCAGGGATGCACATGTGAAGGGACTGTGGGAGGTCATGGAACTTGACCTGGAACCAGAGAAGAAATCTCAGAGACCCAAAGAGGAATATCCAAGCCTAAATATGGAAAGCAGGCTATGCGTGAAATCAAACATGCAGGTCCGAGCTAAACTTTGGAGGGTCTAATTCCAGCCTCGCCACTGATTAGCAGGACCTGGGTGCTACTCTTAGAAACATGTGTAACAGTGTTTTTCCAAGCCCTCCCCTTATATCTATGTTGCAACCAGTAAAACAATGGGGGATACAGCATATAGAACTTCTGCAGGTTGGTCAGAGAGTCCTGTTGCTTCCTACTGGCTTGTTCAGGCTCCACACCCTGAGAAAAGCCAGCCTCTGCCCAAGATGCCTAGCTAAGTGAAGATTCCATGCAGGAGATGTCATAATAAAGCCCCATGGAGCTGCCAGCGATCAGCCAGCCTGGACCACAGTCCGTGTGAGAACCATCCTGGAGCCCATCCTAGATGGAACTTGATAGGACCACAACTGACACCTGCTGGCAACCAATGAGAGACACTGAATATTTGCTGCCCCTCTGAGCCCTTCCCGAGCACATGTTGGTATCTAGAGACCATATATTATGCCACAGTGGAACGGTGACTTTGAACAAGTGAATTAACCTCTCTGGGCTTCAGTTTCTTTGGCTGTAAAATGGGGACAGCATCTCACCAAGTGGGTATTGCCATCAAACGAGTGCCTAGGCCTGGCGCTCTGCAGTCGCTTCAGATACAGCATGCGCTCTGCATGTGTGAGTTTATGCTCTAAGGTCCACACCTGTCAGTGCCGAACACAACAAGCAACGGGACCTGAAATACCACCAACCGGCTCACCTTGGAGAGAAGGAAACAGGCTTGGAGAGTGCCGTATGGCACATGTGGGCAGAGCCGTGAAGACAGAGGCCTCTTGTCTTGGACCTGTGCCGGCTCGTCAGATCCAGGTCACCTGGTCAACCGACAAGAGTCTGGGGGCTGCTGGTGAAAAGCACAGTTGAAGCTGACTGTGGAGAAGAAAGGCCGCCCCAGAGAACCCAGCCTGGGGGCCAGAGAGATTGCTCAGGGTGCAAAGGTGAGCACCACCAAACCTGACAACCTGAGTGTGATCCCGCAGACCCACGTGGTAAAAGGAGAGAACCCCTGTTCTTGGTTTCTAAGAACAAGTTCAAGATGCACACAACCCTCCCCCCCCACCATGTGCACAAACTGATTTTTGTTCTGTTTTGGAGGCAGTCTCTCACTCACTATGTAGCTCTGGCTGGCTGTCCTGGGACTTGCTCTGTAGACCAGGTTGACTTTGTACTCAGACATTCACCTTCCTCTGCCTCTCAAGGGCTGGGATTAAAGGTGTACACCATTATACCTGGCTCTATTTTTGTTTTAAGAAAAGAAAGTCTAGTCAGCCTCTAGTGTGATTTCTCCTTTCTGGGTTAGTTCATGGCTAATATTCCAGGAATAGGGTTTGGGTTTATAAGCCCAAATCTTTGATCCCTTATAAATATTCGGTTTCCCCGTGAGAAGTCTCATTGGCTAGATTCTTGGATCCGTGTGAGTGATGTTTGAGGAACAAGTTAGAGAGAAGGGGGAGACTTGAGATTGTGGATGGGGACTAGTGGGTGTGGCCCTGGGAGAGGAAGCCCTCTGGGAAACTACGACAAGCTTTGGGACCAGAAAAATGCAGAATTCCACAGCCCATGGGTGGAAGGGAGCTGAAGAAGCACTGCCCACTGAACTTAAATGCCCCTCCTTAATTTGAAGACGAAGTCTTGGGTGAGCCCTTTTGGAATTCTCCATAAAGAAATAAAGAATCTGGGGATGGCTCCCCTGGATTGGTAAAGTGCTTTTTGCACAAGCATGAGAACCTGGGTTCAGACTCCCAGACATGTGCCTATATTCTCAGCACCGGTGAGGTGAAGACAGGAGGATTTCAGGGGACTTGCTGGCCAGTCAGTCTACCCAAAT